AGAGAGAGAGAGAGACGGGGAAAAGGACGGGGGTGGTGTTGTTTGGTGAGGGAGATAGGGATCAGATAAATAGACGGTGTACACGAAAGTATTGTAGCAGTGGGGGTGGAGTGAGCACAACATGCGCGGATGTGTCCGTCATTCACAATGAGACTTCTCGTTTGTTTAAATTAAGAGTATAACTTGCAGCACAATAAGTTCCGAAGATTGCAACAACAACAAAAATGGTACAGGTTTTAACGCCACTATCAACACTGTTAGCTTATTTAAGAGGCGGCTGAAGATTAAAGGTGGTACAGGAGTGTAACATACAAAAAAAAGAAGAGAATGGAGATAGATAAGGACGATAACAAAAAAATAATGATGATGATAATGATAATAATAATAATAATAATAATAATAATAATAATAACAATACAAATTGCATTAATATAACGCGTATCCAAGCTCTACATCATGCTCTATGAGCTTTAGATCTACAAATTCTAACATTACGATAGGTGTCTGAGAGGACAGAAGGAGCCGGCCACACCAGAGCACCCGCCAACCACCCACTTAGGACTTCGACCCGCTCACCAGCTGCCCTGCCCTACCCTCTGTCTCGCCAAAACGTCCAGCATGCAGTGAGCATCGGTTGGCATGAGGCCCAAAGCTCTTGCATACAACTGACAGGTGGTATTTGAAAAGCCTATGGTTACCATGACGACTACCGCAACGCAATACTTGCCGCTCCGATGCTTTTAATACATTTGGATGCATTATTTATTTTTTTCGTTCTTATTTATTCTCTAGCATCGACCAAATTTGTTTGTTTGTCGATGTTGTCGCGCCGGGGTTATTTTTTAAATTTTTTTTGGGGTGTTTGTTATCTTTTCTTCTTTTTTTGTGGTTGTACTCAAAACATGAAACAGGCAGTGGGGGCCTTCGAAAGAGAAATTCATTCCAGGAGGGTTTTTTTTTCTTTCTCCCACACAGACATTTACTATCTATTTATGCTGACAGAGATTTTTGTCAGTTTCACGGATACACCGAGGACGATTAAAACGCTATACTTTCTTCGGCGTGAACCCGGCAGGAAGCAAACCCGCACCGAATAGAATATACTTTTTAATAGATGGAAGGGCAACGACCAAAAAAAAAAAAAAAAGATAAGACAGAAAGGAAGTTAAAGGAGGAAAAGGAAAGGCAGAGAAGAAGAAAAACATGCACAAAAGAGACGGAGTAAAGGTAAGAGAGAGAGAGAGAG